GGGGGATTAGATTTGTTGTACTGTTGTTTGTGTATTTCGTAGTGTAGGGGGATTAGATTTGTTGTACTGTTGTTTGTGTATTTCGTTGTGTAGGGGGATTAGATTTGTTGTACTGTTGTTTGTGTATTTCATAGTGTAGGGGGATTAGATTTGTTGTACTGTTGTTTGTGTATTTTGTAGTGTAGGGGGATTAGATTTGTTGTACTGTTGTTTGTGTATTTTGTAGTGTAGGGGGATTAGATTTGTTGTACTGTTGTTTGTGTATTTTGTAGTGTAGGGGGATTAGATTTGTTGTACTGTTGTTTGTGTATTTCGTTGTGTAGGGGGATTAGATTTGTTGTACTGTTGTTTGTGTATTTCGTAGTGATGGGGGATTAGATTTGTTGTACTGTTGTTTGTGTATTTCGTTGTGTAGGGGGATTAGATTTGTTGTACTGTTGTTTGTGTATTTCATAGTGTAGGGGGATTAGATTTGTTGTACTGTTGTTTGTGTATTTCGTAGTGTAGGGGGATTAGATTTGTTGTACTGTTGTTTGTGTATTTCGTAGTGTAGGGGGATTAGATTTGTTGTACTGTTGTTTGTGTATTTCGTAGTGTAGGGGGATTAGATTTGTTGTACTGTTGTTTGTGTATTTCGTAGTGTAGGGGGATTAGATTTGTTGTACTGTTGTTTGTGTATTTAGTTGTGTAGGTGGATTAGATTTGTTGTACTGTTGTTTGTGTATTTCATAGTGTAGTGGGATTAGATTTGTTGTACTCTTGTTTGTGTATTTCGTAGTGTAGGGGGATTAGATTTGTTGTACTGTTGTTTGTGTATTTCGTAGTGTAGGGGGATTAGATTTGTTGTACTGTTGTTTGTGTATTTCGTTGTGTAGGGGGATTAGATTTGTTGTACTGTTGTTTACACTTTTATAGAAACAAACTCTGAAAGATTTAGCAAAATAGACACTTGTAAATTTTGTCAACAAATACAGGTACACACTCAACTTCTTACAAAGGTAAAGTGCTTGACACAAAAAAAAAAAAAAAAACATTAAGTAGAAGAAGTATGTCAGTTAGATGATGACCTTGAAAGAAACTGTCATTGAATTACAGACAGCATTCCCATTTTAATATATGTGACATTATCACCGAGAAGGAAGAGAATTTAATACCCATTGTAATAAGTTTTCTTAGCACTTATTTATATGGTAGGTCACAATAAAGTATTTTTTTTAAGGTATATTACTATGAAGTTGTTGTTATATTTTTGGTTCAAATTCGTCATATTTGTTTTTCGTTAATTGTTTTTTTTTATTAATTAGGTCGTTAGTTTTCTCAATTGAATTATTTCATATATTTTTATGTACGGACGTATGTATAGCCGACTACACGGTATGGGTTTTTCTCATTGTTGTCTGATTGCTTACATCCACTTCATTTGAACTTCGGGGAATAAATATCTCATTGGCAATCATACCACATCTCCTTATTTTATTGTCAAGTCTGCGACATTTGTGTTGTGAAACAGATCCTAGATTCCGGCGGTGACAACGGCGGTGTCAACATTTAGGTTCAGTTTGTGGTTAAAGTTTTTTTAGATATCAATAACTTTGTCAAACCTACATAGAATTTTATGAAGTTTGGACAGTAGCTTGTTTATGATCAATATACATGTATAGTATCCAGAGCAAAATTTTGAAAATTAATTTTTCGGTATTTTACTAATAAATTGACTTTTGTTTTTTATTTTACAGTTAACATTCAAATTCAGTCTGAGGGTTAAAGTTTTTATACGCCCGTTTACGGGACATATTATGGTATACCGTTGACCGTCCGTCTGTCCGTCCGTCCGTCGTCAACATGTCGGACATTAACTCAAAAACGCTTTTAACAATATGCATGAAACTTTGGTGAATTGTTTATATCTATTGACGTGAGCTCCCTTTCGTTTTTTATAAATTTCGGATTTACCGTTTCCGAATTTTGGAGTTTTATTCATTAAAAAAGGGGGGATTTTCCAGTTTTCGGACAATAACTCAAAAATAATTTCACCAATTTGCAAGAAACTTTGGTGAATTGTTTAATGCTATCGACATGAGCTCCCTTTTGATTTTTATAAATTTTAGACTATACGTTTCTGATTTATGGGGTTTTATTCGTTACAAAAAGGGGGATTTTCCAGTTTTCAGACAATAACTCAAAAATGCTTTCAGCATTTTTTATGAAACTTTGGTGAATTGTTTATATCTATTGTTGTAAGCTCCCTTTTGATTTTTATGAATTTTAGATTTTATGTTTCCGAGTTACAAGATTTCATTCATAAAAAAGGGGTGATTTTCAAGTTTTTGGACAATATCCTTAAAGTGCTTAGAGCAGTTTTCATTAAACTTTGATGACTGATTTATATCTATTAAGATAACCTCCCTTTTTTTTTATAAATTTCTAATATAACATTGAGAAGTTATTGAACTTTATTTGTTTATAGTCTGACAACAGATTTACTAGTATTGCTCAACAGCACAGTGTATTGCACAACAGAAAGAAATCTTTAATTGAATATAAATTCAATTCATATAACCAATTTCAAGTTCTTTGACTACATTTATTCAGAAACCTATAATATGTCAAATATTTCATTACAATCCAAATTCAGACCTGTATCAAGCTTGAATATTGTGTCCATTTTTGCCCCAACTGTTCAGGGTTGGACCTCTGCGGGCGTATCCAGCTGCGCTCAGCGAAGCAGTTTATTAAGTCATCAATTACTTTGTGAAACATTCATGGAATTTTATGAAATTTGGACAAAAGCTTGTTTATGATCAAAATATAGTATCCAGAGCAAACATTTTAAAATATATATTTTCATTTTTCTGTATTTTACTGATAAATGAACTTAGTTTTTTTTTGAAAGTGTACAAGTAGATATGGTTTGTTACACATCAATTACTTTGTCAAACATTCATAGAATTTTATGAAACTTTGGCAGAAATTTTTCATAATTAAGAGATAATGTCTGAAGCAAACTTTTGAAAATATGTTTTTTTCCTTTTCAGTATTTTTCTGATAGATGGACTTTTATTTTGTAGTTTACTGTAAAAATGGAAACATGATTAAGGGAGTGTGCATGGTGTCCTAAGAATACACATTCTTTTTTCAATTGAAATGAGGCAGTTGACTGCTGTATTATTTACATCTGTGTTAGCTATAATTAGTAGAAAATGTGTATTGTCCATTCCAATGTGGCTAAAACCAATAAATTTTCTATACAGATTTATGAGTCACAAAATTTTCTTAATTTGTTATTGTGTAATATATTGATAATTCTGAGCTGAGACTACTATAACACGTGTTATAGTAGTCTCAGTTCTGAGGCCTTCTGAAGAAAACAATACTTTTTGAATATTTTTTTCATTCTTGCAACAATTATAATGTAAACTTTAATATACCTAATTGATTCACAAATAAAATACCCTGCCTTTTTTTCATTTTATATGACGTCAGGTTCTTATCATTAATAATACTATGGTGCTAACAAGCTGATTAAGTATAGTAGTTAACATTGTTTTGTATATATTTGTTTTGCAAGGTATGGTATAATGCTTTTTGTTTTTCTTCATTATAAAGTTGAAAAATGAACATCTGAGCTTTTTTGGGATGAGAAGAAATTTCATTTATGGTAATGAGTTATTATTCTGTTTTTGTTATGTAATTCAGTACATGTGTATTCCTGAGTCTAGCTGTCATTTACTAGTCTTGTTTAACAAAGGTTTTGTTACAATAGGAGAATATGTTTTATGCTGTGGAAGACAGACCATAAGAGACAGATTTCTGCTCGAGTTTGACTTTGAAATATTTTCCAATATAAATTTTAAAATTTTGATAAGCCAATATCCTGGAATAATTCGTATGTTCCCAATCAAAAAAGAAGTTCTTCAGTTTATGGTTTCCTGATCTTCAATGTGGACTCATCTGTTATTTTACCATACACATTGCAATTTGGAGGATAAAGTTTTTCATCCCATCCCTCATTCAGTTCATCAGTCTATCTATCCATTTATCCGTCATCACTTTGTTGTCGCCTTCATATTTTAAACAGATTTTTTACAATTTGAATGAAGGTTTCCATTCATAAAAAAGGGGCCTCCATGGCCGACTGGTCTAAGTAGTAGAACTACTGTATCACATAAGCCTGTCAACACTGAGGTTGTGAGTTTGAACCCCGTAGGTGGCATGTGCGTTCAACTCTGATCTTAATTGACTACGATTATCAGTTTTCCTGCTGAAGGGTGGTTGTTCACTTCTGACACCACACCACAAAATAGTCAATTTTGGCGAAAGTGGGGTTAAACACCTAATTTGGATCAATTAATCAGTTAATCCATTCATCAAATCAACACATGAGTTCAATAATTGTAAAATCTGAAATGGGGATTCATTTTTTATGAAGCAAGACTGGTCGATGTATCACATAATAATTCCTTTTTTAAAACAGCATACATTAGCATCTTCATACATCGACAAACCTCTCCAGTTTATATAAAGTTTTTCATTCATCCCAACCTTGGATAAGTTTGATAATTAGTTAAATTTAAAATGGGAGGAGGATTGGTAAAAATATTCCATATAAATATTTTTTATCAAGATAGCTCCTTTACATTGTGTCAGATCCTCTCAAAAGATACCAAAGGGACATTTAAACTCATTAGTTGAAAATAAACTGACAAAGTAATGGCAAATACAGAAAGAAAAATCTAAAGACAAACATCAGTATACAAAACACAATATAGAAAACTAGACTGAGCAACACAAACCCAACCAAAAACCAGGGGTGATCTCAGGTGCTTTGGTTTATAAGTAAGACTGTAAGTTAACTTTTACTACCCAATTTTTTCTGTCGTGGTGTTCAGAGATACTTTATGATGTTTATTTCTACTTCACATATTCACACCATCCTTAATTGTTGTGAAGATGGAATTAAGAACCTTGGATAAAATTTGTTGTTTTCTCTTTATTTTCAGATATTGCGTGAGATAGAAGGTGATGATGAAGATACCCTTTGTGGTGTTGTATACAGTGTTTAAAGTTTTCTGAAGTAAGTGTCAAAAATTTTTGTTTGCGTTATTGTCATGAAGGTTGAATATATCACTTCCAATAGATAACCAATCAGAATGAATGTTATTTACAACAAATTAAACTGAAAAAAATGTCCTGTATTTGAGGTAACCATAATAATTCTTATAAAATGACATAAACACAAATGTCATGGTATACATGTGGAACATTCCTGGACATACTCTCAAGGTAAGGATGCAAACATTTCCCTCTTTTTAAATTTTGCTTATTGGAATTTTGGAATTGGGATGTGTCTGTACATGACCTCCCGAATTTTTGTAGAAATTCACAGTGGCATTTTATATATACAGAATATTTCAATTTGACCAAGTTTATAGTGATATTAAAAATGCCGATGGAAAACACCAGAAGGTGTAAATCATTTGAGTGTTTTTACTAATGTTCTTGTTAGGAACAGCGATAGCTGTTCGACATTTTTTGAAGTAAAACTGAAATTTCATGGTTATGTTTATTGCTGGAATGTAAATTTGATGAACACTTGAAAATCTGGGCAAAGTCTCATATGACACTTTATATTTTTCAAACACTGGGCACTAGAAAAATTAAGTTGTTTAAGTCCTGCAAAATATTGCTAAAACAGTTATAACTATAATTCAAATACCTTAAATTTTTATCACAAACATTAGTGCAATTTCCCTGTTTTGAAATAACAAAGGCTAAATTTGACTCACTAACATCAAGAGAGATAAAAAGAAGATAAATATTTGGATCTGCCGACCCTTTCATAGCCTTTATTTTGTACTTTTTTATATAAATAAGTGAAAAAAGTATTGTCCAAAGGAATAACCACAGTCAAGTTTGGGAATTTTTACTGTTGGGACAAATTGACTTTTGGACACCACGAGATTTTTTTCCTTCTCCAACATCAAATTTGTGCTTATGATAGTAATCTGTTAGCATTAGCTTTTAAAAGGACGGTCAATATTCAGATCAGGTCTCAAGGACATGGTTATGTTTATTTCAAGACCCAATTGAAGAACAAAGTTCAGTTTTGGAACATTATACCCAACTTTATTTTTTTTACATTCCTCCATATAAAGTATATCTTCATGAGAAGCCATTTAAAAATGCATATGGTTGATGATTGTCTATCTCTTTCAGTCTTTTTTCCTTGTACCATTGAAGATATTTTTAATACCATCCATTTAATATTTGGTAGAGTTAAACTTGTCCATTTTTTTATGCCCAAGCAACATTTTCGCAATCTAATGCCATTTACTGAACAATATTGGTTACAGAGATTTCAATAACTGACAGGTAAAAATGCACTAGTGACTCCCAAACAAGTCACTTTTTAATTGGATATTAGGGATCTAGAAATTTATTTCTTTATGAAGCAGTGACTCCCAAACAAGTCACTTTTTAATTGGATATTAGGGATCTAGAAATTTATTTCTTTATGAAGCAGTGACTCCCAAACAAGTCACTTTTTAATTGGATATTAGGGATCTAGAAATTAATTTCTTTATGAAGCAGTGACTCCCAAACAAGTCACTTTTTAATTGGATATTAGGGATCTAGAAATTTATTTCTTTATGAAGCAGTGACTTCCAAACAAGTCCCTTTTTAATTGGATTTTAGGGATCTAGAATTTTATTTCTTTATGAAGCAGTGACTCCCAAACAAGTCACTTTTTAATTGGATTTTAGAAATCTAGAAATATATTTCTTTATGAAGCAGTGACTCCCAAACAAGTCACTTTTTAATTGGATATTAGGGATCTAGAAATTAATTTCTTTATGAAGCAGTGACTCCCAAACAAGTCACTTTTTAATTGGATTTTAGGGATCTAGAAATTAATTTCTTTATGAAGCAGTGACTCCCAAACAAGTCACTTTTTAATTGGATTTTAGAAATCTAGAAATTTATTTCTTTATGAAGCAGTGACTCCCAAACAAGTCACTTTTTAATTGGATATTAGGGATCTAGAAATTTATTTCTTTATGAAGCAGTGACTCCCAAACAAGTCCCCTTTTTAAGTGGATATTAGGGATCTAGAAATTTATTTCTTTATGAAGCAGTGACTCCCAAACAAGTCACTTTTCAAGTGGATATTAGGGATCTAGAAATTTATTTCTTTATGAAGCAGTGACTCCCAAATAAGTCACTTTTTAATTGGATATTAGGGATCTAGAAATTTATTTCTTTATGAAGCAGTGACTCCCAAACAAGTCCCTTTTTAATTGGATATTAGGGATCTAGAAATTTATTTCTTTATGAAGCAGTGACTCCCAAACAAGTCCCTTTTTAATTGGATTTTAGGGATCTAGAAATTTCTTTCTTTATGAAGCAGTGACTCCCAAACAAGTCCCTTTTTAATTGGATTTTAGGGATCTAGAAATTAATTTCTTTATGAAGCAGTGACTCCCAAACAAGTCCCTTTTTAATTGGATATTAGGGATCTAGAAATTTATTTCTTTATGAAGCAGTGACTCCCAAATAAGTCACTTTTTAAATGGATATTAGGGATCTAGAAATTTATTTCTTTATGAAGCAGTGACTCCCAAACAAGTCACTTTTTAATTGGATTTTAGAAATCTAGAAATTTATTTCTTTATGAAGCAGTGACTCCCAAACAAGTCACTTTTTTAATTGGATTTTAGAAATCTAGAAATTTATTTCTTTATGAAGCAGTGACTCCCAAGCAAGTCACTTTTTAATTGGATTTTAGAAATCTAGAAATTTATTTCTTTATGAAGCAGTGACTCCCAAGCAAGTCACTTTTGAATTAGATTTTAGAAATCTAGAAATTTATTTCTTTATGAAGCAGTGACTCCCAAACAAGTCACTTTTCAATTAGATTTTAGAAATCTAGAAATTTATTTCTTTATGAAGCAGTGACTCCCAAACAAGTCACTTTTTAATTGGATTTTAGAAATCTAGAAATTTATTTCTTTATGAAGCAGTGACTCCCAAACAAGTCACTTTTTAATTGGATATTAGGGATCTTGAAATTTATTTCTTTATGAAGCAGTGACTCCCAAACAAGTCACTTTTTAATTGGATATTAGAAATCTAGAAATTTATTTCTTTATGAAGCAGTGACTCCCAAACAAGTCACTTTTTAATTGGATATTAGGGATCTAGAAATTTATTTCTTTATGAAGCAGTGACTCCCAAACAAGTCCCTTTAAATCAGGATTTAAGGGATCTAACAAACATGTTTAACCCCGCCACATTCTTTAAGTGCCTGTCCCAAGTCAGGAGCCTGTAATTCAGTGGTTGTTGTTGATTCATGTCTGTCATATTTATTTTTCATAAATAGTTTTGTTATAAATTAAGCCGTTAGTTTTCTCAATTGAATTGTTTCATGTTTTTCATGTCGGGGCCTTCTATAGCCGACCATACGGTATGGGTTTTTCTCATTGTTGAAGGCCATACAGTTGCCTATAATTGCTTACATCAACTTCATTTGAACTTTGGTGGATATTTGTCTTATTGGCAATCATACCACATCTCCTTATTTTTATATTGATTCTTTATGAACCGTGACTCCAAAACAAGTACCTTTAGATTGTGATTTAAGGTATCAAAAATATTTGTTTCTTTATGAAGCTGTGATTCCCAAATAAGTCCCTTTATATGGGGATTTAAGAGATCTATAGAATATTTGTTCCTTTATGAAGCTGTGACTCCCCAAACAAGTCCCTTTATATGGGGATTTAAGAGATCTAGAATATTTGTTTTATTTAAGAAGGACAACGACTCACAAACAAATCCTTTTATATCAAGCTTTTATGGATCTAGAATATTTTTTTTTTTATGAATCCAATTTTCCACTTTAGTGACAGGTTACACACAATAATACACAATCAAATATGTACCTTGAGAAAAGTTGAGGTGACCTTGTGTCAAGCAAAACTCAAAATATACCCTAAGAAAGGCCCATTAGGAGTTTGAGCTATTGAAGCAGTACTGTTATTCAGTATGGATATTTGATTTTGCTGTCTTCATGCAGATATGAATATGAAAACATTATTAGAGAGACACAGAATATATTACTGTAAATTCAGAAATTATTGCAGTTTTTATTCATAAGAAAACTGCAACTGTGTGAGTACTGCAATTTTACGAACGCGCATTCTGAATTCTATACACATTTGTATGCAGATTTTCCTGAAATCACAATAATAAATCTCACATTTTTGTCTATTCTTCAAAGATCGCAATACTAAATGATTGCAATAATTTCTGAATTAACATTACATAATATAATGGGATTAACGATGAAATTGACTAAAAAAAATAGCATTGTTGCAGTACTATGATGCCCATTAATAGGTAAAAGAACAAAGTTTATGTCAAGGTAATCATTGATTACCTTATACTTATTTAGATATGATAACACCTGTGTATTAATTGTGTAGTATTACTATTAAACCCTTTAACTGAACTAGGAATTCGTTGGTCCTGTTTTAAAAAGAAAGAAAAAAGGGGGGGATAAGATGCTAAGGGAGTAATCAAAAGTTATGATATTGAAAAAAGACCACACAATGGCTAAAAGAAAAACCAAACAGATAGATACCTGTCTTTAAATTGATAAATGATGTACAACTAATATGAGAACATTACAACACCAATGGTCAATCAATAGACATAGTCATAGTTCTTGATAAGCAGACCATATATTGATTACAGTATATTATTATAAGTCCAGTTGAACTTTAATTTCTTTGATATCTGGAACACATCTCTAAGTAAATATATTTACTTTTTCCATTTAGCAGACCTTTTAAAATAATTTGAACTTTTGAAACTTAAACTGTTGAAAATGATTGGTCACAATGTATGAGTTTTTTTTATTTTCTTTATTTTCTTTATTAACATGTTTCTCTTGATATTTAGAATAATTCAAATTTTTATGTCTTGTTAACAGTGTCATGAAGTTCAAGGTCAATCGTTACGCCTTAACACCCTGGGTAATTTAAACTGCCAAAGACACTCCAGTATATCAGTACC